CAAATTTAGTGGATAACAATTGTAAAAAATGAGTGAAAACAATCCCACGGACAATGCGACGGATTTAAGGTTATGTCAAGGTACGTCTCTTGTGAATATCAATTGATTGTTAGGTTTTCTCTTCTGAAATTACATTATGACGCATTCACATACATTATTAATACAAATACATTTTCCATGGCGAGACGATGAGGCAACCACAAGCACTTCCACTGGTTCAAGAGGTCCACGAGGGAAAAATGCTCAATATTACCGTGATTACAAAGCAAGGAAGCGAGCGGAGCAGGAAAAAGAGTCGTTGAGTAGAGCTAATGATCCTTCTACGACTACTGATTCTTCTACAATTGACGTCACAGGTTGCGAAGTTTAACTTCTTCCGCGCGGAGGGCCTCCACGCACTATTTTTTTTGCTAGTTATTTATTGTTAGCTTGTTTTTTATGATTATTAATTGGTTTTTTGTGACATACTCTGTTAATTTTTTTGTTAATAATTGTTTTTTGCGAATTCTAATTTAATTGTTAATATGCTTCATGGTGAACTTTGTGATCGGTGGCGTGCACAAAATATTGTGTCGCGTGCCATTGGTTCGCCATCCCTGCTCTAGGACATGGGTGAAATCAAAGACGGAAAAGAAAAAAAAGAACTGGCAATAAAACCATTTCAGTTTTGACTTGTTTTCGAAAGGATTGAATCAATTCTCTTCTCTTAACAGCTCAATAATTGATGTTCCCAGAAAAAATCATGGCTGAAATACGTTATATAGCTAGACGGAAAAGAGAAAAAACTGGTACGAAAGACATTTAATTTTTTTTTCGGGAAAAATAAAATGTCTGTAACTACCAAGATGAAGTAGATATTGTTGAATAGTTTGAAAAAAAAATGAATAAGTAAACTCCTCCAGAAAACTAGCTATAACTGAAATGGTTACTACCAGTCTTTCCGCTTTTGCGTTTCTTTCCCATCTCTTTCCGTCTTTTTCTTATAAGCTTGCACATGTATTTGTAACAATAAATAAATAAGTAAAGATGATGTGATGCAATATCAACCAAGTATATTTGCATTGCAGCACCGCTAAGTTTTAACGCATGAATCTATAGCTGGAATAATTTTAAAAAATTACTTCCCCAATTAGCATTTCACTCACACCATCGATCTTCTAGTGTACAAAATCTTCCGAGCTGACACATTTGTAATGGCAATGGCAAAATATTATCAGTACGAGAATGTGACAAGTACTATTTGATTTGCAGGATACCGTCAATTAACCAGCATTAAATTTACTAAAAATTATATACCAGCAACGAGTTTACCCTTTGCGGCCCAGTGTTGCCAGTATGTCAACACTGCGTCGTAATCAAGAAATGTTACAAATCACTAGATATGTAAAACTATTATATGTATTAAACGTTCACCCGTTTTTTAGCTACATTTGTTTTTTGTAAAAGCCAGATGGTTCATGAAAAACGACGCAATACACCATGATCTCAAAATAGATGCCATAGACAAATATATGTCTAAATTAACTATTAAGTTCTTAGAAAAAGCCACTTCTGGCCCTGCAGAAAATTTCAATGAAATATTCCTGTATGAAAATTTAACTGGCGACAAGAACGTCACACTAATAGTAACGTACTATTGTATAGATGCTTTATATTCCCGACATCAATAGTATATACATAACCTCATTTTCACCATACCAGCTTAGCTCACGTTATAACTCATGTTTTTACATAATGCTCTCATCTGTATATAACTGCACAGTCACATCTCATTGAATAGTCCTTTACTTCATTTGCATTCCACCACTTCATCGAAACACCACAAAAGTTCAAGTTAAAGATGAATGGGAAAAGGGCCGCAAGTGGCCTCATTTGCCTAGATGTTTAATGCAGTTCAGTTCAGTAGCTATATTTTTTACGCATTTGAGAGCTAAAGTGTATCTCTTTAATACGTATACATTGTCTGAGGTAGCAGTTATTAACAAGTTGCGCCAATCTAGAACTTACAACTGGAATTTGCTGTTCCACAAAAGGTTTAAAAAATGGCGGCTTTTTCGAAATAAATCTGATCATAAACAAGCGCCGGAAGTCGAACATGTATCCTACCGGACCTAAAACTACTACTAGTTCGTGGTTGTTTATGTAGAAAAAAAGAACGTGACAAATGAATCAAAGAAGTATAAAGACAGCGTGAGAAAGCAAATTACCTGTCCATTTGCAAACTAAGCATTCAATCTCATCCGTGCACTGGTCGACCCAGCTTTGGGCTAAAAATGCCAATTCTGGATCCCAACTCTAAATTAGATAGAATGAAAAAAAATGCTTAGAAATAAATAATTATTAATAAACTGATATTTATTTTTGTTTCATAATGACTAAAGAAAACATAGAGAACGGGATCAACAGTTTCACTAAAAGAATTACGACGAAAATGCGTAAATCAGAATTTTCGAATTTTGTTTTCGAGAAACTTATGTATAGTATACTCTCGATGTCTCCAAATTGAAGGGACGCTAAAAAAAATTTGAGATAGCGAGTTTTGGAGGTTACAAGTTTCGAATAAATATATTCTAAAAAAATAGAAAAATATAATCTGAAAAATATTATCCTAAAAAGTAGAGGCGTGAAAAATAAGAATTACTATAAATATGCACATGTAATGATAGTTGACTATAAGTCTAAATACAACAATGATATAATCTAATTTTTAAAAGTAAGACAAAAATAATAATGCATTAAGTAGAAAGGAATTAATTTACAATAAACTTGCATCGTGATTTTTTGGAAAAAAATTAAATTTCTATTTCGAAAAAAATTCGACATAGGAATTCAAATTAATATTAGTGGATATAGGGTAAACTAACCAGAGAAGGAACACTTAAGATTCGCTTGCCTTTTAAAAAAATCATATTAATTTCAAAATTCGTAATTTTAGTTAAATGACAGTGTCAACATATTTGTTACTAATTGCAAATTATGTAAAAAAATTGTAGAGAACTTACATAATATTGTTTTGGAGGTTCAAATAACAAGTAGTAAGAAGACCAAGTGAAGGAACAGCTCTTACCAGTGAATGAACACCCAGTAAAGGAACACTTAATTTTGGTTATTTTTTAATGCTCTTTATGAATTTATAAGCCATACAAATATTTAAAAACAAGCCTATTCTTGAAATTATAACA